TTTGACCTAATAAATCTTTTATACAATTTATGGTATTTAGTAGAATTTCCCCCAACGTTGTTTTTCATTGGTGTTAGCCTAGAGCCCAGGCGTGAGACTAGGGTGTCAGCCTAGAGCCCAGGCGTGAGACTAGGGTGTCAGCCTAGAGCCCAGGCGTGAGACTAGGGTGTTAGCCTAGAGCCCAGGCGTGAGACTAGGGTGTCAGCCTAGAGCCCAGGCGTGAGACTAGGGTGTCAGCCTAGAGCCCAGGCGTGAGACTAGGGTGTCAGCCTAGAGCCCAGGCGTGAGACTAGGGTGTCAGCCTAGAGCCCAGGCGTGAGACTAGGGTGTCAGCCTAGAGCCCAGGCGTGAGACTAGGGTGTCAGCCTAGAGCCCAGGCGTGAGACTAGGGTGTCAGCCTAGAGCCCAGGCGTGAGACTAGGGTGTCAGCCTAGAGCCCAGGCGTGAGACTAGGGTGTCAGCCTAGAGCCCAGGCGTGAGACTAGGGTGTCAGCCTAGAGCCCAGGCGTGAGACTAGGGTGTCAGCCTAGAGCCCAGGCGTGAGACTAGGGTGTCAGCCTAGAGCCCAGGCGTGAGACTAGGGTGTTAGCCTAGAGCCCAGGCGTGAGACTAGGGTGTTAGCCTAGAGCCCAGGCGTGAGACTAGGCTCCCTCTGCAAGCCTACAACCAGTTATTTAATACCTCAGATAATCCCTTTAAACTTTGATTTAATTCCACACTTTATGTAAATCTTATCCCTCCTTATCTGATAACTGGGGATCCATTTTCGGGGTTTTATACCTAATTGACGGTATTCTGCTTCACCGTCAATTGGGGGAATTACTCAGTGGGTAGAAGATGGTGGCGGCGTTATCAGAGGCTTTGCAGTGTAGCATAGAAATTACAGTATCCTGGAGCCGTCATATCTAAATGGTCGAACGTTCTTAGATCTTGAGGAGTTGAACTGAAGGTTACAGCTTAGAACTGTGGTGTCTGTATAATTTACTTAATAACGAATTTAACCAGTAAGTGAGGTTAAAGGCTGGCTACCGTTTCACAAGAATGATTGTCATGGTTTCATTCTGTATGCCTTCGAGACTTTTCATATCGCTTTGGGAGTAGGTGCACAGAACTGGTGCGGCATAGTCTATGACGGAGCGCACATAGGCTGTGTACATCATTTTTAGCACGGCAATAGAGGCTCCATGTCCATTCCAGGTCATAGCTTTCAGTGCCCTGAGTCGACTTTTGCATGTTCCTATGAGTTGATTGAGCTCCTCTTTCTTCCCCTTGTTAGAGCCGACAGTGACGCCAAGGTACCGATAGTGGTCAACCCATTCAAGTGTTACACCATTAATTTGTAGTTCTTCATTTTCTCTCCGCTTGTGATGGGAGTATGCCTTCGTCTTGTTTGTGGAGAGAGTGAAACCGAGCTCAATACATTTCCTTCCAAGGAGTTCAATGGACTGTTCAATTTTTCCCAAGGTGGGAGCTTGTATTAGGACATCATCTGCATATCCCACTTGTTGTGTTCCTTCCAGAAAATCAATATTTGCAATGGCGTTCATAAGTACATTGAATAGTGTAACCCCGCACAGGAGCGGGGCAAGTAGCACGGGCTATGGTGAGCCCGTAGCGGACTTACCTGGCACTGGAGCAGTGCCCCTACTGTTGCAGGGGCACAGCATCTGCGACACCCAATTTCTGATTCCTTTATACCTCGTCCCGCACCCATCCCTGGCCAGGCTGGTGGAGTACCGGGCCTCCAGCCCCTGCTGGGCCCACACCAGGCTACACCTTTGGCTACCCAAAGTGGGCAGCCGGTGGCTGAGCGAACAGAACACTGGATGCGTGATCCTGTGGTCCCGGGTTCGATTCCGGGCGCCGGCGAGAAACAATGGGCAGAGTTTCTTTCACCCTGATGCCTCTGTTACCTAGCTGTAAATAGGTACCTGGGAGTTAGTCAGCTGTCACGGGATGCTTCCTGGGGGTGGAGGGGACACTAAGGGGACACTAAGCCCCGAAATCATCTCAAGATAACCCCTTCACGTCCTCTCCCTTCCCCAGTCTCTTGGCAGCGTCGACCCCCACCCCCCCCCTTCCCCCCTCCCCCAGAAACCCCCGTGGTTACTCCAGTGCCAATTGCCCCACTCCTCCCCCCCCCCCCCCGCCCTTCCTGGAGGTGTGAGACACTATGTCCTCACCGTGAGGCACTGGACAGTTCTCACGACCACTGCCTCATTCCACCATCTGGTTGGCGTCATTATGTCTCTTAAAGACTCTAATGACTATCTTGATGACCGTACCCCCCCCCCCCCAATGATTTGCCAACCTGTCCTTCGGAGGGGTTGGTACCCTTGTGGTAATCACTTAAAAAACCACTACATAATTTGTCCGAAACGCTATGCGTACTAGTGGCTTTAGGTATTGTATGTATTATCTCTATCTTTAAATCCAACATTATGTGTGAACTCTATGTACCTTTACCTGAATAAAAAATCTAAATCTAAATCTAAATCTAATTAGTGCCATTATCTACTTCCTACTTCCTATTATCTACCGCTTTTCCTCGAGCGCCATGGCTTCATCTAGGTTAGGTTAGGCTAGATTAAAGTCGATTAATTAGATTATATTAGATTAGGATAGGTTTGGCTTGGTAATTTACGTTAGGTAACGTTATGTTCTGTTAAAACTGTGTAATGTTTATACACATGTGAAGTATATCCTCCATCCCATGCTCACGGACAGAATGTTCTTGACCCCATGCTCAGTCCACGGACAGAATGTTCTTGACCCCATGCTCAGTGCACGGACAGAATGATCTTGACCCCACGCTCAGTACTGTGTGGTGATGCCCACCCTGTTTTTTTTCATGTTCTTGTCAACATTATAAATTTCAAGAAGCCATCCTTCACCTCAGACCTGGAGATCACATAACTTTCCCCCGATGCAAGACGCCAGGTCCGTCTGTTTTGTTCCTCGTGTGGCGTGGCTTATCCACGGGCATCATGTCATGGTCTTCTGCCTCACCCTCCTCTGTCTGCTCCATAATGGTTTCTGAGCCTCGAAACCCAAGACATCCATAAGCTCCCTTGCTTTACCCTCTCCCGCACAATCTGAGTCCTTTCCTCTGGTGTCACCTGCCGCCATTTCTGCCCCGCCTCTCCCCCGTGCTCGACCCCATGCCCGGTGTTTACGTGTTACATGCTGTCTCTTCACACTCCTCGTTATCTACTGTGTGCCCCTGCGACTCTTGCAGGAGAGTATCTTGGCAGAGAATATCATATCATGCATGATATTCCTTCCCCCTCTGTCGTTGGGTTCTCCCTGGCATACAGCCCTCTGGGCCGAGTTCCACCCTCCACCCAATCATTATCGTGTCTTCCCCTCTCGTTCTCTCTTCCCACAGGAGACGATAGCGGCTCTCTCTCTCTCTCTCTCTCAGTAACATGATGCTGCCACACGTGTATTTCTCTCTCTCTCTCACTCTCTCTCGGTGAGAACCGTAAGCCTGGTCCCTCTGCCCCTTCCTCCCTGGCGGGTAATGGGCGTTAGTTCTTCACCCACCTCCTCCCCTCCGTTCTTGTTCCTGCAGCTCCTCCGGTCTCGGTAGTGGAGTCATCTGACCTTGTTATAGGAGTCCCCATCGCAGTGGGTCCTTCCTCTAAGCTTTTACTAATCCTGAACATGTCGTAGTTACTGTGGCTCCTCCGTCCGACGTCTCGCCTCAGCTCCTTACCGCAGCCTTCTCCGCCTGACCATCTCTGTTGACTTTACCTGCGCTTCCCAACCCTGATTTCTCTGTTCTGTACCCGTTGCCTCTTGTCTTTAATTGTTTGTCTTCTTGACAAAGTTGTTCTTCACCATGTTTGTTCTTCAATGGAATATCTGCGCCTTGAATACCATTTTAGTGAGGTGCCACTTTTGATCTTGCAGTTTTCATTGCTTTCTATTTTCTCTCCAGAAACTCATGTTTGGCGCTTGTCCCGTTCCACTCTACAGTTATTCCTTCCTCTCCTTCCCACTTGGGGTGGACGGTAGAGTGACGGTCTTGCTTCATGCAGGTCGGTGTTCAATCCCCGACCGTCCAAGTGGTTGAGCACCATTTCTTCCCTCCCCCCCCCCCCCGTCCCATTCCAAATCCTTATCGTGACCCCTTCCAAAGACTTTATAATCGTAATAGCTTAGCGCTTTCTCCCAGATAATTCCCTTCCCTTCCCCTATAATGATCTTTTCACCCTTTTGGACTCCAGTCCGCCTTGTCCCTCGGCAGTGGCTGGTGTTCAGCATGAGATGCTGTCATCCCCTCCGTGCTACTTGCAGTATTTGCTGCGTGTCTGTAGTCACATTTGGGAGTCGACCTTTGGTCCCTGCTGACTGGTTCGAAACAGTTGTTCTTCCCTTAAGAAACCCTGGTACTCAAGGGACTTCTCCCTAAGGATTTTTGTCCTATTGCCCTAACAAAATGTGTTTGCAAAGTCTTTGAGCTTATGATTAATGTGCATCTCATGTGGTTCCTGGAACATCATTGATACAATTTCCCCCTTCCCCCCCTCCTTCCCCTCCCAGTTTGGTGTTGGCAAGTGACGCAGCACGACACATATTTTGGTGAACTTAGACGTCTACATTTGCGCTGCCTTTATTGCGAAACTTTGTTGCGAAACCTTCAGGAGGGACCTGTTCCCTCACCCCACTTTCCTGTTCTTGCAAGAGTCTTTCTTTCTTGTTCTTGCAAGAGTCTTTCTTTCTTGTTCTTGCAAGAGTCTTTCTTTCTTGTTCTTGCAAGAGTCTCTCAGTTCGCATTACCATTGTGAATATGTTGTGAATTCATGGAAGACCTTGATCCACATATTGAAGACTTATTCTCCATCCAACCCCCTGAACATTTCTCCAGGGGGGGGGGGGAGGCATGTTCAGGCATGTTCATGCCTTCAACAAGGCTCATACTGCTGTCTTGAAAAGCCTTTTCCTTGAATATGTTTCCTCTCTTTCTCTCTCACACTTCACTGCTCAGGTCACTGATGGGTCTAAGTCTGCCGACGGTGATAGCAGACTCTGGCGCATCTCTCGATCAACCGTACATAGCCGCCGCCGCCGCCGCCGCCTGCCCCCAGCGACCAGCAGCACCCTCACGGCAGAACATAGCCGCCGCCGCCGCCTGCCCCCAGCGACCAGCAGCACCCTCACGGCAGAACATAGCCGCCGCCGCCGCTTGCCCCAGCGACCACCAGCACCCTCACGGCAGAACATAGCCGCCGCCGCCGCCGCCGCCTGCCCCCAGCGACCAGCAGCACCCCTCACGGCAGAACATAGCCGCCGCCGCCTGCCCCCAGCGACCAGCAGCACCCTCACGGCAGAACATAGCCTCCGCCGCCTGCCCCCAGCGACCAGCAGCACCCCTCACGGCAGAACATAGCCGTCGCCGCCTGCCCCCAGCGACCAGCAGCACCCTCACGGCAGAACATAGCCGCCGCCGCCTGCCCCCAGCGACCAGCAGCGCCCTCACGGCAGAACATAGCCGCCGCCGCCTGCCCCCAGCGACCAGCAGCACCCTCACGGCAGAACATAGCCGCTGCCGCCTGCCCCCAGCGACCAGCAGCGCCCTCACGGCAGAACATAGCCGCCGCCGCCTGCCCCCAGCGACCAGCAGCACCCCTCACGGCAGAACATAGCAGCCGCCGCCTGCCCCCAGCAACCAGCAGCACCCCTCATGGCAGAACATAGCCGCCGCCGCCGCCTGCCCCCAGCGACCAGCAGCACCCCTCACGGCAGAACATAGCCGCCGCCGCCTGCCCCCAGCGACCAGCAGCGCCCTCACGGGAGAACATAGCCGCTGCCGCCTGCCCCCAGCGACCAGCAGCACCCTCACGGCAGGACATAGCCGCCGCCGCCTGCCCCCAGCGACCAGCAGCACCCTCACGGCAGAACATAGCCGCCGCCGCCTGCCCCCAGCGACCAACAGCGCCCTCACGGCAGAACATAACCGCCGCCGCCTGCCCCCAGCGACCAGCAGCGCCCTCACGGCAGAACATAACCGCCGCCGCCTGCCCCCAGCGACCAGCAGCGCCCTCACGGCAGAACATAGCCGCCGCCGCCGCCTGCCCCCATCGACCAGCAGCGCCCTCACGGCAGAACATAGCCGCCGCCGCCGCCGCCTGCCCCCATCGACCAGCAGCGCCCTCACGGCAGAACATAGCCGCCGCCGCCGCCTGCCCCCATCGACCAGCAGCGCCCTCACGGCAGAACATAGCCGCCGCCGCCGCCTGCCCCCAGCGACCAGCAGCGCCCTCACGGCAGAACATAGCCGCCGCCGCCTGCCCCCAGCGACCAGCAGCACCCTCACGGCAGAACATAGCCGCCGCCGCCTGCCCCCAGCGATCAGCAGCACCCTCACGGCAGAACATAGCCGCCGCCGCCTGCCCCCAGCGACCAGCAGCACCCCTCACGGCAGAACATAGCTGCCGCCGCCTGCCCCCAGCGACCAGCAGCGCCCTCACGGCAGAACATAGCCGCCGCCGCCGCCGCCGCCTGCCCCCAGCGACCAGCAGCGCCCTCACGGCAGAACATAGCCGCCGCCGCCGCCTGCCCCCAGCGACCAGCAGCGCCCTCACGGCAGAACATAGCCGCCGCCGCCTGCCCCCAGCGACCAGCAGCGCCCTCACGGCAGAACATAGCCGCCGCCGCCTGCCCCCAGCGACCAGCAGCACCCCTCACGGCAGAACATAGCCGCCGCCGCCTGCACCCAGCGACCAGCAGCACCCCTCACGGCAGAACATAGCCGCCGCCGCCTGCCCCCAGCGACCAGCAGCACCCTCACGGCAGAACATAACCGCCGCCGCCTGCCCCCAGCGACCAGCAGCGCCCTCACGGCAGAACATAGCCGCCGCCGCCGCCGCCGCCTGCCCCCATCGACCAGCAGCGCCCTCACGGCAGAACATAGCCGCCGCCGCCGCCGCCTGCCCCCATCGACCAGCAGCGCCCTCACGGCAGAACATAGCCGCCGCCGCCGCCTGCCCCCATCGACCAGCAGCGCCCTCACGGCAGAACATAGCCGCCGCCGCCGCCGCCGCCTGCCCCCAGCGACCAGCAGCGCCCTCACGGCAGAACATAGCCGCCGCCGCCTGCCCCCAGCGACCAGCAGCACCCTCACTGCAGAACATAGCCGCCGCCGCCTGCCCCCAGCGATCAGCAGCACCCTCACGGCAGAACATAGCCACCGCCGCCTGCCCCCAGCGACCAGCAGCACCCCTCACGGCAGAACATAGTTGCCGCCGCCTGCCCCCAGCGACCAGCAGCGCCCTCACGGCAGAACATAGCCGCCGCCGCCGCCGCCGCCTGCCCCCAGCGACCAGCAGCGCCCTCACGGCAGAACATAGCCGCCGCCGCCGCCGCCGCCTGCCCCCAGCGACCAGCAGCGCCCTCACGGCAGAACATAGCCGCCGCCGCCGCCGCCGCCTGCCCCCAGCGACCAGCAGCGCCCTCACGGCAGAACATAGCCGCCGCCGCCGCCGCCGCCTGCCCCCAGCGACCAGCAGCGCCCTCACGGCAGAACATAGCCGCCGCCGCCTGCCCCCAGCGACCAGCAGCACCCCTCACGGCAGAACATAGCCGCCGCCGCCTGCACCCAGCGACCAGCAGCACCCCTCACGGCAGAACATAGCCGCCGCCGCCTGCCCCCAGCGACCAGCAGCACCCCTCACGGCAGAACATAGCCGCCGCCACCTGCCCCCAGCGACCAGCAGCACCCTCACGGCAGAACATAGCCACCACCGCCTACCCCCAGCGACCAGCAGCACCCTCACGGCAGAACATAGCCGCCGCCGCCTGCCCCCAGCGACCAGCAGCACCCTCACGGCAGAACATAGCCGCCGCCGCCTGCCCCCAGCGACCAGCAGCGCCCTCACGGCAGAACATAGCCGCCGCCGCCTGCCCCCAGCGACCAGCAGCGCCCTCACGGCAGAACATAGCCGCCGCCGCCTGCCCCCAGCGACCAGCAGCGCCCTCACGGCAGAACATAGCCGCCGCCGCCTGCCCCCAGCGACCAGCAGCGCCCTCACGGCAGAACATAGCCGCCGCCGCCGCCTGCCCCCAGCGACCAGCAGCGCCCTCACGGCAGAACATAGCCGCCGCCGCCTGCCCCCAGCGACCAGCAGCGCCCTCACGGCAGAACATAGCCGCCGCCGCCTGCCCCCAGCGACCAGCAGCACCGTCACGGCAGAACATAGCCGCCGCCGCCTGCCCCCAGCGACCAGCAGCACCCTCACGGCAGAACATAACCCGCTTGTGTATCCTCTTCGTCAGTGGTTCTCCCCAGAGACTTGTAACTCTTCATATCCCGTAGTGGTGGATATCCCATTCCGGCTGTTGCTTATCTCTTGCAGAGATAATAAGATATTTTCATTGTGGACGGCTGTCAGCCATATTGGAGTTCCCGGGAAGGTACTCGAGGATGCCGCCGCTAAGGAGGCCATTTATGCTTGCAACGTTTCCCGGAAAGGGATTTCCTATTCAGGTTTCTAACCGGTCATTCGTCCTGCAATCTGACGGCTGAGTTAACAGCGCACGGGATTCGTAGTCCTAAGGTTCCAGGCTCGATTCCCGGCGCTGGCGGAAACAAACGGGCAGAGTTTCTTTCACCCTGATGCACTGTTCACCTTGCAGTAAATAGGTACCTGGGAGTTAGACAGTTGCTACGGGCTATTTCCTGAGAATGTGTAACAAAAAGGAAGCCTGGTCGAGGACTGGGCCGCGGGGACGCTAAGCCCCGAAATCATCTCAAGATAACGTCAAGAAGATAAGGATCGTTGGGCAGGCGTGGAGGTAATAGAGAGCCATGCTCTTTAAAGTGATCTCTCTCCCTGGGTCTTCCTCCTACCAATAGGCAGTATAGGGAACAGCTAGTAAAGAAGGCAGCTAGTATTGAAGGTAGCTAGTATATAAGGCAGCTATTATGTAAGGCAGCTTGTATGGGCAGCAGCTAGCATGGAAGGCAGCTAGTTCAAAAGATAGCTAGTTCAGAAGATAGCTAGTATAGAAGATAGCTATTACAGAAGATAGTACAAAAGATAGCTAGTACGGAAGATAGCTAGTATAGAAAATAGCTATTACAGAAGATAGTACAAAAGATAGCGAAGATAGATAGTACAAAAGATAGCTAGTACAAAAGATAGTTAGTGCAAAAGATAGCTAGTACAAAAGATAGCTAGTGCAAAAGATAACTAGTACAAAAGATAGCTAGTACAAAAGATAGCTAGTGCAAAAGATAACTAGTACAAAAGATAGCTAGTGCAAAAGATAACTAGTACAAAAGATAGCTAGTAATATGGGATTTACTCTTCGAGTTAATATTCTCCTAGTTCATTTCCAGCAGTATATCAATTATAGAGACATATGGTAAAAATTATAGATAAATATATTCCAATTTAAATCACTGTTAATTACTCAATTTATCAAAGCAACAAATTATATGAATTACTCAAAAGACTTCGATTCTAGAGAAACGTAAAGAGATATTTCCTGCTTAGTTGCTGTAGACTTTTTTGATCAGGTCTGATGCTGAGAATACGATGCTGTTTAAATTAATTTTAATTTTACGCTGAGGGGCGAGTTTATTGGGCAGCGTCACTCATCCTGTGAGTGGACACACCGCCATAGTGACAGTATTGGGCAGCGTTACTCATCTTGTGAGTGGACACACCGCCATAGTGACAGTATTGGGCAGCGTCACTCATCCTGTGAGTGGACACACCGCCATAGTGACAGTATTGGGCAGCGTCACTCATCCTGTGGGTGGACACACCGCCATAGTGACAGTATTGGGCAGCGTTACTCATCTTGTGGGTGGACACACCGCCATAGTGACAGTATTGGGCAGCGCCACTCATCCTGTGAGTGGACACACCGCCATAGTGACAGTATTGGGCAGCGTTACTCATCTTGTGGGTGGACACACCACCATAGTGACAGTATTGGGCAGCGTCACTCATCCTGTGAGTGGACACACCGCCATAGTGACAGTATTGGGCAGCGTTACTCATCTTGTGGGTGGACACACCGCCATAGTGACAGTATTGGGCAGCGTCACTCATCCTGTGGGTGGACACACCGCCATAGTGACAGTATTGGGCAGCGTTACTCATCTTGTGGGTGGACACACCGCCATAGTGACAGTATTGGGCAGCGTTACTCATCTTGTGGGTGGACACACCACCATAGTGACAGTATTGGGCAGCGTTACTCATCTTGTGGGTGGACACACCACCATAGTGACAGTATTGAGCAGCGTCACTCATCCTGTGGGTGGACACACCACCATAGTGACAGTATTGGGCAGCGCCACTCATCCTGTGAGTGGACACACCACCATAGTGACAGTATTGGGCAGCGCCACTCATCCTGTGAGTGGACACGCCGCCATAGTGACAGTATTGGGCAGCGCCACTCATCCTGTGAGTGGACAGACCGCCATAGTGACAGTATTGGGCAGCGTTACTCATCTTGTGGGTGGACACACCGCCATAGTGACAGTATTGGGCAGCGTCACTCATCCTGTGAGTGGACACACCGCCATAGTGACAGTATTGGGCAGCGTTACTCATCCTGTGGGTGGACACACCGCCATAGTGACAGTATTGGGCAGCGCCACTCATCCTGTGGGTGGACACACCACCATAGTGACAGTATTGGGCAGCGTTACTCATCCTGTGGGTGGACACACCACCATAGTGACAGTATTGAGCAGCGTCACTCATCCTGTGGGTGGACACACCGCCATAGTGACAGTATTGAGCAGCGTCACTCATCCTGTGGGTGGACACACCGCCATAGTGACAGTATTGGGCAGCGCCACTCATCCTGTGAGTGGACACACCGCCATAGTGACAGTATTGGGCAGCGCCACTCATCCTGTGGGTGGACACACCACCATAGTGACAGTATTGGGCAGCGTTACTCATCCTGTGGGTGGACACACCACCATAGTGACAGTATTGGGCAGCGCCACTCATCCTGTGAGTGGACACACCGCCATAGTGAAAGTATTGGGCAGCGCCACTCATCCTGTGAGTGGACACACCGCCATAGTGACAGTATTGGGCAGTGCCACTCATCCTGTGAGTGGACACACCGCCATAGTGACAGTATTGAGCAGCGCCACTCATCCTGTGAGTGGACACACCGCCATAGTGTCAGTATTGGGCAGCGCCACTCATCCTGTGAGTGGACACACCGCCATAGTGACAGTATTGGGCAGCGCCACTCATCCTGTGAGTGGACTCAAAGCCATAGTGACAGTATTGAGCAGCGCCACTCATCCTGTGAGTGGACACACCGCCATAGTGACAGTATTGGGCAGCGCCACTCATCCTGTGAGTGGACACGCCGCCATAGTGACAGTATTGGGCAGCGTCACTCATCCTGTGAGTGGACACACCACCATAATGACAGTATTGGGCAGCGTCACTCATCCTGTGAGTGGACACACCGCCATAGTGACAGTATTGGGCAGCGCCACTCGTCCTGCGAGTGGACACACCACCATAGTGACAGTATTGGGCAGCGCCACTCATCCTGCGAGTGGACACACCGCCATAGTGACAGTATTGGGCAGCGCCACTCATCCTGTGAGTGGACACACCACCATAGTGACAGTATTGGGCAGCGCCACTCATCCTGCGAGTGGACACACCGCCATAGTGACAGTATTGGGCAACGCCACTCATCCTGCGAGTGGACACACCGCCATAGTGACAGTATTTGGTAGGGCCACTCATCTTGCGAGTGGACACACCGCCATAGTGACAGTATTGGGCAGCGCCGCTCATCCTGTGAGTGGACACACCGCCATAGTGACAGTATTGGGCAGCGCCACTCATCCTGTGAGTGGACACACCACCATAGTGACAGTATTGGGCAGCGCCACTCATCCTGTGAGTGGACACACCACCATAGTGACAGTATTGGGCAGCGCCACTCATCCTGTGAGTGGACACACCACCATAGTGACAGTATTGGGCAGCGCCACTCATCCTGTGAGTGGACACACCACCATAGTGACAGTATTGGGCAGCGCCACTCATCCTGTGAGTGGACACACCGCCATAGTGACAGTATTGGGCAGCGCCACTCATCCTGTGAGTGGACACACCGCCATAGTGACAGTATTGGGCAGCGTCACTCATCCTGTGAGTGGACACACCGCCATAGTGACAGTATTGGGCAGCGCCACTCATCCCGTGAGTGGACACACCGCCATAGTGACAGTATTGGGCAGCGCCACTCATCCTGTGAGTGGACACACCGCCATAGTGACAGTATTGGGCAGCGCCACTCATCCCGTGAGTGGACACACCGCCATAGTGACAGTATTGGGCAGCGCCACTCATCCTGTGAGTGGACACACCGCCATAGTGACAGTATTGGGCAGCGCCACTCATCCTGTGAGTGGACACACCGCCATAGCAGCATGTACAACACTCCCCAATAGGAAGAAAACCCGCTGGGTTGTTCATCCTGTCACTTGTACCCAGACACAGCTGGGACTTGCTTAACTGTCTCAAGTGAACAGCTCCTCAAACAAGAAGATTAACATCTATCAACCCTTAAAAGCTTACGTTATCTTGCGGGTGCAAAATGGGGAAATCTTTTAAGAACAGTATCAATATTTGACAAATAGTGTTTTCCTAACTCAAACAATGTGGGGTTTATTATTCTACACATATTCCTAATGTCTCTCAGGTGTTCACATTCACGTAGATAGTGGTCAAGGCGGTGTCCATCACTCTCACCACAGATTCTGCAACTTCGCTGATCAACTGTTGTTTCCATTCCAAATCTCCATGGATATTTGTATCCAAGACGGATTCTCGCTATTACAGATTCTCTCCCTCGTCGTCCTCCTCTTCGGCCATAATGATTGGGTTTGCCAGCTGCAACCATGTTGTACCATCGTACAGGTTCACTGGTTTGTGCTTCTATTGCTGTTCTTGATCCTCTGCCAAAATGTTCACAATTAGTTTTACAGGAAATTAATTGTTTAAAACTTACAGCCAAAGCACTGCATGATACCTGGTTGATGGGTTCTGGGAGTTCTTCTACTCCCCAAGCCCGGCCCGAGGCCAGGGTGGACTTGTGAGAGTTTGGTCCACCAGGCTGTTGCTTGGAGCGGCCCGCAGGCCCACATACCCACCACAGCCCGGTTGGTCCCGCACTCATTGAAGAAAATCTAGTTTCCTCTTAAAGATGTCCACGGTTGTTCCGGCAATATTTCTTATGCTCGCTGGGAGGACGTTGAACAACCGCGGTACATATAGGTACACGCCTCCAGTCCTACTACAGTCAATT